CAGACTTTACAACAGCCCAGAAGTCAGACAATATTCCTCGCAACCGCTACAAAGATATTGTACCCTATGAAGAAAACAGAGTAAGGATCACACCATCCAAAGAGAACAAAAGTGGTTATATCAATGCATCACACATTACTGTAAGTAATAGGTTGTTGAGTTTGTTCGTTCTCTCTCTCTCTCTCTGTGTGGGTGCATGCATGCCTGCGTGCGCGCATTCTCTGTGTGTGTTCGTTTTCATTTAAGTGTTGCTGTGTAGTAGTATAGATATAGATGCATGTTTACATCTTTACATTTAGCTTTACCTTCAGTTTACATCCTCTAGGATAGAAATAAAATGTGAATATATTTGTATTTGTCTGTTCTCTTTATATACTTATCTAAGAGTTAGTTTTCATATCCATGTAATCTTTTATCATACTTTTGATAACTTGACACCTCTTCTCATTATCCCCAGGCAAGTGTAGGTGAGAGCCAGCGCTTCTACTTGTGTGCGCAGGGTCCCCTCGCCAACACAGTAACCCATTTCTGGCAATGTGTATGGGAGGCAGATGTGCATGTTGTGGTGATGCTGACTTCAGTAACAGGAGACACAAACACCAGCAAGAGCTTCCCGTACTGGCCTCAGATGGACAACACGAGCGTTGAGTGTGGGGAGGTGTGTATCTCTGTTTTGTATTTTGTATTATGGAATGCTTGGGTATAGTTTTAGTTATTGCTTTCCATTGGTTTCTTGCTGTTCACTAAGTTTTGTTAATCTCCTGCCAGTATCGTGTGTTCCGTAAACACAGCACCGTGACAGGGTCCCACATCACTAGCCGACTGCAGCTCATTCACGCCCCCACACGCAAGACTCGCACCGCAACGGCACATCGGAAGATTGGGCTGGCTGTCCTGAAGATGTGCAGGGATTTATATGTGAGTAACACTTTGTTTGTTTCTGCTGCTCTTAGTTTTGTTTTGATTTAGAAATAGTTTGCCAAGTAATTCCTGGATGGCATGACATATATTCCATGTCAGCTGTGATTTTAATTTATTGATTTTGCTTACATATTGGCTGTACAAGAGCTTAATTGGCAAGGAGTGAATTACTAGTCTTACCTATCTCACCTATATACCCTTTTCTTTGATTAATTCTCTTTTTTATTCTTTATTGCAATTAGTTTTTTTTATAACATTCTAGCAGCCATAATGTCAATAAAGTTAATAACAGATTTGATATTATGAGCATTAGAAGAAAAATTAAGATAAAAGAAAAGGGGAAATCAGGTGAATTCCTATAGGGCCTTCTAAATTGATTCCTTGGGGACTGAGCATCTGTGGAGCCATGTATTTGTAAATAAAAGTCACAGGACAAAAACTACAGTGTACAGTACATGTGCCTGGCACTTAAAAGTCAAGAAGTGTTTAGTAGTTGAGATTTTATGTCTCATCATTGCTCCTGTTGCTTCCCTGTCCTTCTCCTGTGCTTAACTTTAGACTGCTTTACCATATTCCCATTACTGTATATTTCTTCCTTCTCTTTGAATGCCTTTTGTAAACATCAAATATTTCTCTTAGATCTTTAATTTATTTTCTTACTAAATGGTTCTGGTTCACCCTTATACTATATCTTCATTGTTTTAGTGTAACAACATTGCAATATTGTTTTAATATCATGATATATTTAGCTAATTTATTGTAAGCCTTTTAATCAAATTTACCCGGCAATTTTAGGCTTCCTGGAAGAGCTATCAACACTACGAAGATATTCATACAACGAGGTCCGAGGAGTTGGCAGGAACCGAAACACCCCAGTCCTTGTGCACTGTTCAGCAGGTGTAGGGAGATCAGGGGTCACCATCTTGTGTGACCTCCTCCTTGAGGCAGCTGACCATAATCTCCCCCTCGATCCCCCAAAGGTTCTACACCACTTACGGCAGCAGAGGATGGCCCTTGTACAGACCATTGCCCAGTACAAGTTTGTCTACCAGGTCCTCATTGCCTACTTGAATCGTGCCAGGCTCATCTAGACTGGGAGGAGTGTGATGCTGTCATAGAAAGTACGATTGAAAGAGCCAGTGATTCTTATTAGGTCTTAAATAGGCGTAAATTTCTAATTTGAGTGAAGTGACCCCCATATTAGATATGGTAAACTAAGCAGTAGGAACAGATAGACATATAGTGGCATTTATTGCTGTTCATAGGTGCTAGGACATGGACAGATTAAGTTTTTTTTTCTTCTGACGCCTTAGCCAGAAGTTAATCCTTTGAATGAACTTTGTGAAGAGTGAATTTAGAGGCTTGTGGTTATTTTAATTTGTGCAGTTTGGGTGTTTTAAACAGCCATTCTGCCACAATAGCTTCCCCACCTTCTATATTTTATACTGTCTTTAGCAGTGGTCTTTGTGTGTGTATATATATGTGAAACTGTGCAGCTTGACCAAAGGCAGTAAAGATGTGAATTTCCAAAAGTTGAAAAAAGTGCCGAATATGCCTTTGCTAAAAGTACAGAAGAATAGTTTTACATAATCATTGGTGCTTTTATCAAGTAACAGACTGATATGCAGACCAGCTGGTTTGCTGAGAAGCTCTTTTTGAAGTAAGATCTTCATTCTTCCAAGTATACCAGAAGTAAACAGAGTGAGAAAGTTTCAAGAAAAGAATGCAGCTTTATTATGCTGTGACATGGTGACTGTATCCTGTGTGCTTACTGCATTCTAATGTTTGGAGAGTTGCTGTATAATTTTGTCTCACATCATGATGTCATTCTTGTACTTCTACGAGTATTTCTTTGTATGTGTTCATTATTTATGTTTTAGAGGTGAGGAAATGTGATTGCAAGATTAAGTGAGTAAGTGAGAGAAAGAGAGAATGAGTGAGTGAGCAATATGGTAGTTCTAATAGAGCAATAAAAATTTCCAGTCCTCTGCAGCAGAAAAGATTTATAACTGAAAGTCATGAAAAAAGACAAACAAAGAGAAGAAAATGCATTTTTCATGCATTTCAATTTGTATTTATCTCTGAACACACATCTAAACACACACACCCATAATCACACGCACAAAAGACCTCCATTGAATTGATTGGACATAGTCATACAAGAGAACCACTGAGGATATTCAGCCCATAAGCAATGGACCTCTAAACAAATGATTGCCCAAAAGATAGCAAAGGAACATTACACTGACGCATTTGTTTATCATACATTGGTTGTGAAGGAATAATTGTTTACAGAGTTGCATGATGCATGTCTCACTCTAATTGTTTATACATTAATTTTTTTTCTCTTGCATTTTTCTTTTTCTTATATTGTCTGAAGTTTGGTATGGTACTGTATGTGTCTGTGTTTGTGTGTATTTGGTTTGTGTCTAAGCTATTATAAAGCAATTGTTATGACAGCAGTCTAACACACCACCTCTTTTTCTGTCATAGACAATGTTGTTCATCACTGAACACATTGCATGAAATTTTGTACATATATATTTTTCTTGAGATGTTACTCAATTCTGATCTTTGTGTATGCATAATGCATGCACCCATACATTTGTACATGCATGTATAAATGTATACATACATATACAGTATATGTAGACTTGTACATATATTGTATACATGTAAATATACTCACATGGATGTACCTGTGTAAACCTTCATATATAACCCATTTTTAAAGAATGAAGAAATATGCCAGTGACTTCCTATTATGCTTGTGTATGACTGCCATGGCTTTGTTTGTCATAAGAAGTGGACAGACATTGCTGTGGTTAAGATTGCTAGCTAAGAAATTTTCAGGTTTGGCATAGGTCAGAACTCTCATAAAGCAGCTCAAAGTGCAAGAAATGGAGACCCATAGCATTGCATTGCATTTGAGCCGGTGGTTTTCTGTTTGGTTCACGTGCTAATGGCATTTAAGTAAGATGTTTGGGCTTTGTTGAATTGTTTTCATTTATTTATTTACATAATATTCTACCTTAGGGCATTTACTCTTCCAAACTCTATTTGGAGTAGAGACAGTGATAGTGATACTGAAGTCTGTATATGCAATATTTCTTTCTTACAACTTCTCATATTTTTACACTGGCAGTTACTCTTTAAAGTGTGTTGAGTATTTTAAATCTGAGTATTATTTGAAATTTCATACTTTGCAATGTGATTTTTGAAAATCCAACGCTTAAGACCTACTGAGGAGAAAGGCCTAGGTCCATTATGAAAAACAGTCTATATATGTATTTTTTACAATTACAAGGGTGGTATATAATTGCCATATGACCATTTTTTGTAGAAATGGGAACAATTTGTTTATTACTCTTCTGACAATCACTCAGCTACTAGTACTTAAAATTTCTTCCATTTTTTACACACACTAGAAATTATGTCTTCCAAAGCCAACAATCAGAGTAATACATACAGTAAGGGTCAAAAAATAATTGTCGTTCAACTTTTAGCTGTACCTATGGACTCAAAATTTTTTCCTCATTTACCCTCAAAAAATAAATAGAATTGACTAATTTTTAAATTATTGGAATCCTATTCAGTAAATAAAGATAACATAGGGAAGAACGCTAACAAAAAGACGCAAGGGGGGAGGGTAACAAAGGAGGAACATCAGTCACAAAGTCCAGAATACAGATTGGGAGCCATATGGTACTGAGGGCGATGCTCATCATGGGGAAGAGTTGTGAATACCCTTGTGTGTGTTTTCCTTCATGCTTCCATACCGAAAAATCCTTTACCGGATGTCTTTCAAGGTTGGTCTTGCCACTGACAGGCTTATGCTTATGTCACTAACTCTCCACTCCTGCCAACTGTTTTGGCATTACAATTGTTTTTTGAACATTGTACCTATGAATATATATACAAGAGTGTAAATTTATGACAGTGCTTGATATAAAGGCCAACACTGTTTGGTGTATTTATATATTTCTCTAAAAAAAAGTGCCATGTATATTGGGAAGTTTTAAATAATTGTTTTTTAAGAGATGATGTTTGATTTACCTTTATTTGGACCTTTTAAAATTTTAGTATAATTGTCTGATTATTTGAAACTATTTATACCAACTGATGAATTTTGTCTCAACCAATAACTTTTTCCCCATTACCTCTCCACCAATCCCATCCTGTTGTTGTGAGGGGGAGTGGGGCATAGGTGACAGAGGTCCAATATTGGGTGAGCCCTCAGCTCAACCAATTTTGCATGTTCCTTTCTTCTCCCTTTCCTTTTCCTTCTTTTCAACACCCTCTTCTGTCTACTTCCCTAGATGTCAGAGCTGTGTCGAAAGGATAAAAGGCTAACCTTAGGTCAGTCTTGAATGGCTTCAGGGAGCAATGGACACATTCCCATTTAGTTATCTAGTCCTTGCCACTCAAGTGGAACCTGAGGGGAGAACCATTTCTCTTTCTCACATACTCCAGATTGTATCTTTATTAGGGGCATTTAGGTTTGCCCCTTTATCAGCTAGCCCCAATGACTAACTTTTCCTTTTCCCTGACACCTGGCTCTCCCTTGATCACAGCTTGGAACACTGCTACTACTACCCCCTCCTTGATACTAGCTGTCAGCTCAGTCTATCAGAAGTCACCCACTCAGGTATCAAATTTTAAGATAATTGGTATGGATAGAAAATACATTAAATGTAGTGAAAAATATGGAATCGAAGGAAAAGTTCTAACTGTCAATTACAAATGCTAGTAGATTATATATGATACTATAAACCAGGAAAATTTCAATGAAAACCAATACCATTAATCATCCAGAATATAGGAATGAATGTAAGTGGTCATTTTAATGCCTATCATTCTCCATACTTCAAAATGCATTTGCTCTACATAAAAACAAGATGTGAATGAAAGCCTTGACTTGAAACAGTAGTAATACTAATTTTCAAACTTATTTTACATTATATTGCGTGAATTACAAGTTTAAGGATACGGTTAATAACAAAGTATGAGGAATTACATTTTATTTTTTTTATATATGACATCCCATTTCTGGATTCACTTTCCTAAAAATACATATATATATAAATAAAAGAAAAATGATGAATGATCACTAGCAAATTTTAAGAAAAAAGAAGACATAAAATAACAGTTAACATTTGTTTTCTATGACTTTTATCATTAAATCCAAACTGTTTAAAAACCAAGTGCCAGTACAGTACAGAATAAATGCAGTTGTAAATACAGGGGGTGTTCGCAAGTTTAACTTTCCTGCTTTACAAAACCTGTTAAAGTGAACTTATTTAGTAATCTATATACACAACTTTCATACTAGTAATACTTATGCTAATGAAACACATTGTGGCAATCTCAATATCCAAGTAAACTAAACTTGAAACAAAAACAAAACTAGTAAACTAGTGATATTTTTAGAGGAATAAAAAAAAATTACAAAACTGTATAATGTGAACAAGAGAATTTCACTGACAAAAAATTATGACATATTAGCTTAAAGACGTTGAGCTAACACACCAAAAGTTTAGAACATGTTAGCAGAATGTCAAGCAATGCATGGAGAATGGAAAGCAGAGGAAAAATCATCATATTTTTACAATCTGACTAAGAAGCTTGGAAAAAAAATCTTGAAATGGAAAATGCTATGATTTTATTTACTATCAATCAGTTACATGCACACCTTTCCAGCCAAAGCAGCTGTGTTCAGTTTTGAAAGCTTTGTTAATCATTGTTTTATAAATGGTCTTATATCTTAATGCAGCAAAAATGAAGAAAAAGGAGGGAAAAGAATTTTATTTACAAAAGTTTGTCAACACCAACAAAACTGACATGTGAAAATAGTTCTGATGGACAGCGGTTGTCAAGGTTAGGATGGTCTAAAGAGAGAGAGGGGGAAAAAAAAAAAAAAAAAAAAAAAAAAAAAAAAAAAAAAAAAAAAAAAAAATCAGGAACTAAAGGACAAGAGAAAAAAGGAGAAGAGATTGCACAAGCATACAATACAAAATCCCACAAGCATTCTGCCAATCTAAAGCTTGGATAGTCGAGAGGTCACCCAGGTATATCCATATTGCCATTAAAGATATGCTGGAACCTTGACCATATACCCCAAAAGTCTCCAATGTAAAAATCTAGTTGGAAACATTTGACAAATTTTAATAGCCACTTCCTCTGAATTATAAATATTTTCAAAATGATCTATTTGTGCCTATGATTATAAAAGCTCCCAGGGAGTTGTGCTTCTGCACTTGGTAATAAAATTTAGTACATTCCTCTTTGATTATGTGTGCGATATAAACACAAAAATGATGTCATTTCTTTATCCCACTTTATCACATAAATAAATACATTGGAGAAATATTAATCAAATATTACAAATACCCTTTGTAGAACACTAAATGGAATGACCTATAGTTTTCAGCAACAAGGTCAATCTACTTGTTACTGATTAAAAGGGAATACAAAATATCTTTCTTGCAAAAGATCCTGATCAAAGCACCTAACTTTGTACAAAATTCAAATAAACTTGTTCGAGGACAATATCACAATATTTGCAAGACCCCACTGTGATCATCACTCAGTGACCTGAGGGAGTAGGCAAGTCTTTGGTGCATTCTTGGATCCAGGGATGCGCCAGTACGCCCTCGAGGTTCAAGCGAGCACGAGGGTTGTGACGGAGTAGCTGGGGAAGACAGAACATGAGTAATGAAACTTGGTAACTTTGTCTGATTTGACATGATCATGTAGGTCCTGTCAAAAACTGACAGTAATGTTCCTGCAACTTTTTTTAAAATATTTTTTTATAATGAATGAGATATATGTAGTGTGCACTTGTACATGTGTGTTATTTTTTATAAAATTTCCTTTGGCTACATTTATATGATCCCATATAAGTTTAGGCTCTGAACCAACTCAGCTGTGTTTTCACAC